TCGTGCCCAGACCCGAGTCGGCAACCTTAAACACTTAAAGAGCCGTTTGGACCCATTTCCCAGTGAAAAAAAAACACCGGGAGCGACAAAACCCTTCCCGTGCCTGACTATTTTCTGGGCGCCCACAAAACTAGCATATGTATTTGGAAAAGGGCGGGGGGACATGGTGGCTCAGTGGCAAAGATGCGGAGCTTGTTGATCAGAAAGGTCAGCAGTTGGGCGGTTCGAATCCCTAGCACTGCGTAGTGGAGGGAGCTCCCGTGACTTGTCCCAGCTTCTGCCAACCTAGCAGTTCGAAAGCACATTAAAAAAAAAATGCAAGTAGAGAAATAGGAACCATCTTTGGTGGGAAGGGAACAGCGTTCCGTGGGCCTTCGGCGTTGAGTCATGCTGGCCACATGGCCACGGAGACGTCTTCGGACAGCGCTGGCTCTTCGGCTTTGAAAGGGAGATGCCTAGAGTCGGAACAACTGGCACAGATGTGCGGGGGGAACCTTTTAACTTTCTTCTGAAACTTTTCATTTCTTGGATTTATCCATTTATCCATTGGCGATTATGACACATATTTTGAGCAACAGGGAGCCGCAGCCAAGGTAGGAAAGAGCCACTTGCGGCTCCAGAGCTGCAAGTGGCTGACCCCTGGCCCAGACACAGATCAAGAGACATTTTGGTCTGGATATATATACAAAATCTCTACATTTTGAAGCCCCCCCCCCTCACTCTTCAAATGCTTTCGTTCCAGATGGCAGCTCTTCAGAGCCCCTTCTACGGCGATAAAATGAACCTCTTCTCCCTCTGCCAGAAGATCGAGCAGTGTGATTACCCACCTCTGCCCACCGAACATTACTCCGAGAAGGTAAGAACCTGGCTGAAGTGCAGAACTTCTGCTCGATGGGGTGGGGGGGGCAGGAAGAAGCTTGCAAAGTCACGCTAGGGAAAAAAATGATTTCCTGTTGGATTTTCATATTGGGTCCAAATTGTGGGCTGGATTGGGGGGTCTTTGAAAGCAGGAGGTTTTCGAGGATGCCAGGGAGAGAAGGAGGGTAGGGGGACTTCAGATGAAAAGAGTTGGAAGGAACCTTGTAGATCATCTAGTTCAACACCACCAAGCAGGAGACCCTACACCATTTCTGAGAGATGGTAGTCCAGTCTCTTCTTGAAAGCTTCCAATGGTGAAACTTCTGAAGGCAACTTCTGTTCCATGGGTTGATTGTTCTCCCTGTCAGAAAATTCCTTCTTATTTCCAGGTTGAATGATCAGTTTCCATCCATTATTCCTTGTCTGGCCTTCAGGTGCTTTGGAAAATAGCTTGACCCCCTCCTCTCTGGGGCAGCCCCTCAAATATTGGAAGGCTGCTATCCTGTCTCCCCTGGTCCTTCTCTTCCCTAGACTAGCCATGCTCAGTTCCTGCAACCATTCTTTGTGTGTTTCAGCCTCCAGTCCTTTAATCGTCTTAGATAAATTAGAGTTGGAAGGGACTTTGTAGGTCATCTAGTCCAACCCCCTGCCCACGCAGGAGACCCTANGCCCAATCAGGCTTTTGAGTGCATGCGCTAAAATAAGCCCTCCCTTGAAAATAAACCCACCCCCAAAATATTGCAACACAGCAGCAGCCATGAGGTGACCACACTCGCCGCCTCCTGCACCTCAAAAATAATGAGACATCCCTGAAAATAAGGCCAAGCGCTTATTTCGGGGGTCAAAAGAAAATAAGACCCCATCTTATTTTCGGGGAAACGTGGCAATATTACATGTCTTAACAGCCACCTGGTAAAGCAAAGGGAAATAATAAAAGCCATTAAAAAGCAAAACTTAGAATATTTTGGACATGGGATGCGACACCGAGAAAAACACGCCATCCTTTACTTAATCCTGCAGGGAAAAATTGAAGGCAAATGAGGTCCAGGCAGAAGAAGGACATCGTGGCTTCAAAATCTAAGGGACTGGTTTAGACAAAACTAAGTAATATTTTTTTCATGCGGCTGCTGACAAAAATTGGATTGCCAACATGATCTCCAAGGTCCGATGACGGATATGGCACAAGAAGAAGAGAAGAAGCCGTTTTAACAGCAGCCAGGATTATCTTTGCACAATATTGGAAAAATAAAGAAATGCCGCGAGATGAAGAGGTAATTAAGAAGATGCTAAGACTGTTCAGAAATGGATAGGCAGACATCGAAAATCAAACAGAAAGAAGGCACCAAATATTCTCAAACAAACATGGAATCTACTTTATCGGTGGTTGGGGAAAAGGGGTGGAGAGTAAGAATGTAAAGATGTAAGGAATATAATTAATAGAAAATTAATAAAAATTTCTTAAAAGAAAAAAGAAAGCCTGAATTTAGGCAGGGGGCCTTGAAAGAATGCCATGTCAGATGTGAAATTGGAGAGAAAAATGACAGTCCAAGGACCAAATCTTAGAAGAACTGTATGGATTTCAGCACCTCTCATCCTCTCTGTCTCGTAGACCCCATCCAGACCACCTAGCCCACCCCAGAGCCCCTCACTCTACAAGGCTGAGTGGGGGGTGGGAAGGCGCGCTCCTCATCCTCACCGTCAAAGTGTGGCTTGAAAAACAGACCCACCTCTTTAACCCTAAAGGTTCTCCCAATTTTTTCCCCAGCAGCAGCTGCCATGCGTAGCGCTGAAGAGGACCCCAATGGGGCAATTGAGCCTGTTCCCAGCACATGTTCAAGACCCTCCAGAGACCCTCCACACAAGAGGCCCAGATTTTCACAGCTCAATTATTTCGGTTCCAAATCTCCTCTGTGCAACTGGCCTGTTTGCTCATTTTCAGGAACCTGGTTACTCCTAATTTCATCTGTCTTTGTCTCTCTCTTTTTCTCTGTTTCTTTCTCTCTTTCTGTTTCTTTCTCTCTTTCTCTGTTTCTTTCTCTCTTTCTCTGTGTTTCTTTCTTTCTCTGTTTCTCTCTGTTTCTTTCTCTCTCTCTCTCTCTCTCTCTCACACACACACACACNAGAAAAGAAAAGAATAGAAAAGAATAGAAAAGAAAAGAAAATATGAATGGAATGGAGTAGAGTAGAATAGAATAGAGAATATGGAATGGAATAGAAAAGAAAAGAAAATATGAATGGAATGGAGTAGAGTAGAATAGAATAGAGAATATGGAATGGAATAGAAAAGAAAAGAAAATATGAATGGAATGGAGTAGAGTAGAATAGAATAGAGAATATGGAATGGAATAGAAAAGAAAAGAAAATATGAATGGAATGGAGTAGAGTAGAATAGAATAGAGAATATGGAATGGAATAGAAAAGAAAAGAAAATATGAATGGAATGGAGTAGAGTAGAATAGAATAGAGAATATGGAATGGAATAGAATAGAATATAAAATATGAATGAAATGCAGTAGAGTAGTAGGGAATATGGAATGGGATGGGATGGGATGGAATAGAATAGAATAGAATATATGAATGGAATGGAGTGGAGTGGAGTAGAGTAAAATAGAATAGAAAAGAAAAGATGAATGGAATGGAGTAGAGTAGAATAGAGAATATGGAATGGAATGGAATGGAATGGAATGGAATAGAATAGAATAGAATAGAATAGAAAATATGAATGGAATGGAGTAGAGTAGTAGAGAATATGGAATGGAGTAGAATGGAATGGGATGGGATGGGATGGAATAGAATAGAGTAGAATAGAATAGAATAGAATAGAATAGAATAGAATAGAATAGAATAGAATAGATGAATGGAGTGGAGTAGAGTAAAATAGAATAGAATAGAATAGGAATAGAAAAGAAAAGAAAAGAAAAGATGAATGGAATGGAGTAGAGTAGTAGAGAATATGGAATGGAGTGGAATGGAATGGAATAGGATGGGATGGGATGGGATGGACTAGAATAGAATAGAATAGAATAGAATAGAATAGATGAATGGAGTGGAGTGGAGTGGAGTAAAATAGAATAGAATAGAATAGAATAGAAAAGAAAAGAAAAGAAAAGATGAATGGAATGGAGTAAGTAGTAGAGAATATGGAATGGAATGAGATAGGATGGGATGGGATGGAATGGAATAGAATAGAATAGAATAGAATATATGAATGGAGTGGAGTGGAGTAGAGTAGAGTAGAGTAAAATAGAATAGAATAGAATAAAACAGAATAGAGATTGGAATAAAGAAGAGAATAGAAGAGAACAGAGTAGAATAGAATAAAGAATATGGAATGGAATAGGAATACAATAGAGAATACGGAAAGGAATGGAATGGAATAGAGCTGGAAGGGACCTTGGAGGTCTTCTAGTCCAGCCCCCTGCTCAAGCAGAAGAACCCATACTATCTCAGACAGATGACTAGCCAATCTCTTCTTTAAAACCTCCAGCGACGAAGCACCCACAAATTCTGGTGTCACGCTGTTCCACTGGTTAATTGTCCTCGCTGTCAGGAAGTTTCTCCTCCGTTCCANATCTTCAGATGAACGGAAGCAAACTTTTTAAATTATACCTCCATCTGGACTGATGATGGGATGGGCCATTTCCAACTGGTTTTATTGACCTTGGAAGGGGGGAAAGTTGAGTCAACTTTGAACAGGATTGAACTTCCTGACTGTGGGCAGAGTTAGTCTGCAAAAAAGCACTCTAACCACTGCACCAATACTTCCTTGTTTCCTTCCTTCCTTCTTAAGCAATTGCACGTAGACTTATCTATCACTTCACAATGCTTTAGAGTCAGCTTCTCCCCCCCCCCCCCGGGTCCTCATTTTACCCACCTCAGAAGGACGGAAGGCTGAGTCAACCTTGAGCCTGGTGAGATTCAAACAGCTGGCAGTGAGCAGAGTTAGCCTGCAATACTGCATTCTAATCACTGAGAGGGAGGGAGAAAGGAAGGAAGGGAAATGGCAATAACACTTAGACTTATATACTACTTCATAGTGCTTTACAGCCCTCTCTAAGCAATTTACAGAGTCAGCCCCTTGCCCCCAACAATCTGGGTTCTCATTTTACCCAGCTCAGAAGGACGGAAAGCTTGAGTCAACCATGAGCCTGGTGAGAGTCGAACTGCCAATTTGAAGGCAGCTGGCAGTCAGCAGAAGAAGCCTGCAGTATCGCACTCTGACCACTGCGCTTATAATTGAGGTTCTCACCCAATTCCTGGCCTTTGAGTGATTCTCTTCCAAGATTTTCCCAAGGCAACCAACCCCAGAATGGAGAGCTGTTTTACATTTTGCTCTTCTCCGCCTCCCCAGGATTATTTTGGAGTCTGCTCTGAAGTTGTCATCAAGGACAATGTTGTGGTAGTCTACGAGGTGCTCGAGGAGATGCTGGACAACGGTTTCCCCTTGGCAACGGAGTCCAATATTCTGAAGGAGCTGATCAGGCCACCAACAATCCTCCGGACAGTTGTCAACACAATCACAGGTAGTTGATTTGTGACCAGCTCACCTCGTCCATCAGGCTAAACTGGGCTTGGCTGATTCGTGGTTTATGGAGTGGATCAAACTAGCCTGGGAACAGTAGTACGTTGTTGGCGAAATGGGTAGTATGGATCCAGCATATTTTTGGAGTATAAGACACACTTTTTCCTCCTAAAAGAGGCTGAAAATTTGGGTGCATCCTATATTCCAAATGTAACCAAGCCCACATGGCAGCCTGCACCCTCCATCCTCTTCCTGGGTACAGAGATTGCCACAGACAATGTGTCAGGCCTGCAGCCATCTTTTCTTTTGGGTCTTTGGCCTGCCACACTTTCTGTTATTCTACTGTGCATTTTCTGTTGTGGGAAAATGGGGGGGGGGTGGATTGTACGGAGTTAGATGCTATGTAGCTATAACAAAAATCTTTCTAGAAAGCCAAGGTCATCCTTTGACTTTGCATCTCTGCACCTGACTGGAACTGGATGGGTGGAACTGCCCATATGGCAGTGGGAGATTGGACCACGTGATGGACTTATGGATGGACAATAAGTCCATCACATGGTGAACTTTCAACTGGGTGGGGAAAACCGGGAAGCTTTCAGATTGGGGTTTTCCCAGATGTGCCAACATGGCTCTCTTAATCGATTGGAAGTTTGAGGAATGCTTTGCCTCAGAGACTGATTTAATTTTGGATGCTATTTGGAGCCCTGACACAATGGCTTGCATTTTTGGGCTCCGCGCCTCATGTTTTCAGCCTCCAAACGCTCTGTTTGAGACCCGTTCAAGGCTGTTGTGATCGCCAGAACACATCGCTGCCTCTGCATGTTGTGTTTTCAGGTGGCGATCGGAGTGTTTAGAGGCTGAAAACGCGAGGCACGGTGCCCAAAACGGCAACCCGGAACAGCTGCTGCCTTCCCTTACCTCTTCCGCACTTCGCCTACTTTACTAATTGCTGCTCCCTGCGACGATCAGCTGTGCTTTAGAAGCTGCTTTTCAGCCCCAATGCACACATGCGCGCGCACTCACAACCAGCGAACCAATGTGCTGAAGGACGCTAGCCAGATGAATACCTGGTAGACAGAAAAAATGTCCCCCTATTTTCCTCCCCAAAAACTAAGGTGCGTCTTATACTCCAGAGCATCTTATACTCCGAAAAATACAGTAGGTACTGGCTCATGGTTCAGTTTAGCAGGGGTTAGAGCAGGGGTCCCCAATCCCCAGGCCACAGATTGGTACTATTCGTGGCCTGTTAGGAACTGGGCCGAAGAGCTGCAGGCGAGTGGCGGGCGAGCGAGTAAAGCTTCATCTGTATTTGCAACCACTCCAGTGTTGGCATCACTGCCCTAGCTCCATCTTGGATCTTCAGGCATTAGATACTCACAGAAGCCCAAATCCTATTATAAAATGGGCGTGCGAGGGATATAGGTTGTGTGCTCCTCCTCCTTCCCACCCAGTCCATGAAAAAATTGTCTCCTGGGAAACTAGAACCCTAGTAAGACCATACCTGGACTACTGCCACCAATTTTGGTCCCCACGCTACAAGAAAGCTGTTGAGGCTTTTGGAAAAAGTTCAGAGAAGAGCAACTAAGATGATGAAAGGCCTGGAGACTCAAACATATGAAGAACGTCTTCCTCCCCTCTTCCCTCTTCCAGGAAGCACCAATGTGGGAGAGCAGCTCCCTACAGGGCAGCTGTCCGTGGTGCCCTGGCGACGGACCAGCGTGAAGTACACCAACAACGAAGCCTACTTCGACGTGATCNCTTTCATCTTTCTGAGGTGGGTAAAAGGAGGACCCAGATTTTTGGGGCAAGAGGCTGACTCTGTAAACCACTTAGAGAGGGCTGGAAAGCAGTGTGAAGCGGTATATATCTAAATGCTATTGCAAAATATGGTATTTGGTTCTTATCCTGGTTGGTTCCCCCCCCCCCCCTTCACCCACCTCCTCCCTTTTCTTCTGCCATTTTATTATATGTTATGCAGACAGCCTGAACACAGGGACCGCCTTGTTTTCATGACACTGTCATTTAATCAGGGAGTCGATTTTACTAAAGACACCTGTCCTGATTAAGTACATGAATTCAAATTAATAATGAATGCAACCGTCCTCTCCTGTTGTTTATTTGCTCTAAAGGACTGATATATTAATTTGGCCAACCTCTGGAGTTTTATGAATTCCAGGGGGCAATTACAGTTAACAGCCAAATCACTAGATTGGCTTCTCTTCGGCTTTCTCTCTGCCGATCCTTTGCTAAACTGAAAACTTAAAAGAGGACATAAACAAACAAACAAATAATAACAGAGCGCAAACTCCCTGCTGTTTTGTGCCATACAAAAGAATTCAAACGAGGGGGGAATTTGGTAGGTAGATATGGGAGGTTAAATTGGTTAAAAAAAAGAGTGAATTATTGTTTCACAGAAATGAAAAGAGAAAAAAAAGAGGGGTAAAGGGGGAAAATTGGAAATAAGGGAAGAAGACTAAAGAAGAGTAGAACATAGGTTAAGATAGAGGTATAAACAAGATGGTAATCGTTAGTATTATGATGAGGAAGATAATTATGCATAGTGTTATCATTGTATTTTTATTAGAAGATATGTTAAGAGGAAAATGAATAGGTTAATAATGTTAAATCATTTTATATACACTATAATTTTAAGATTAGAGAATTAATATTAAGGTGAATGATGTGTAAATGCTGAAAGCTGATGCACAGAGATATTTGAACCTAGACGACAAACTGTTTAAGGAAAGATGAAATTGAAATGTTATGTTGAAAAAATTTACACACACACACACACACACACAGACAGACACACAAACATAAGAAACGGAAAAATTAGTGCATTAAAACCATCCATCCTGGATTATGTGCAATTAAAGCCATCTGAAAAGGAGGGACTTCCCAGGACGGGCTGCAAATTCCCTTTTTTTTCCAGTGCTGTTGTAACTTTCAACGGTCACTAAATAGAACGGTTGTTAAATTGAGGGCTACCTGTGCAGGATTTGAGTTGAGGGCATTCCTGACAGGCGAATTAGGACCAACATTGAAAATCAATGAGTGATACAATTATTTCTTCTGGTCAATCAGCAAAGTGGAACGGATTTCCTGGAAGAAGACAACGTTGCCTGATTCGGACACTGAGCAGAAATACTTCACCCTACTCAGGGGTGAGATTCAGTCAATTCGTACCAGTTCAAGTTTCAAGTTTCAAGTTTATTAGAATTTGTATGCCGCCCACTCCCATAGTTCAGGAAAACCAGTAGCTCCGATGATCAACTGAGAGTGAACCGGTTCGCTCCCACGATCAGGTGGGCCTGCCCGCCCATCCCTGTGCTATACTGACCTATATTTCCTTTGTTTGAAGCCCACCTGAGTGGCGCAACAGGGCAAATTGCCATGCTTCAGCTGTTTTACTCACTAGGGTTGCAGTAGAAGGTATGTTTTTGAGCTGTTTGCAAACCTACTGCGCGCACGCAAAGCGCAATCTCCTCAAACAGGTTGATACACCGGTTGACTCCCTCCACTGAGCCTACTACCAGTATTACTTGCAGCCTTCCTCTTCTTGCTCCAAAGTATTCCTAAGAGAGGACACGGAGGTTTGCAAAGGAGAACATCTAAAGCAGAGGTGGGTTCCTACCTATTTGGACCGGTTCAGCCGAACCGGTAGTGATTTGGCGACCTGGGTCACCAAATGGAACACGCGGTGATCCAGGCCTGCCATGCCTCCGAACCGGTTCGCCATCTTGACTTTCGGTATGCGCAGAACAGTTGTCATTGCACACATGTAATTCCTGGTTCACCGACAAAAGGGCGACCGACAAAAGCACGCCCGACTAAACCACGGTGACAAAAACGCAAGTTCTAAACCGCTTCAACGAATGAGCGCTGAAGCGTGCTGACAACAGCGCACCAACAGAAGGGCACTGTAAACCTAACCCTAAACCTAACCCTAAACCTAAACCTCACCCTAAACTTAACGCTAAACCTAACCCTAAACCTAACCCTAAACCTAACCCTAAACCTAA